CCAAGGTGGCAGCACCCACCCAGCTTCTCATTGAAGGGATGAAACTGGACCTGCTGGCTCCAAAATTATGGGGGTACCCAGGGTCTGTCACCGATCTGTCCGGCTGCGTGGAGGCAGCCCTGCTCCTCTGTCACCCCCCTGGAGAGGTTGGGGCAGTGGGTGCTTGCCCCGGAGGCTTTTCACCTCAGTGGCACCCAAACCCTGTGTCCCAGCAATGCTGCCAGCCGCCCCGTGCCCCGGCGCTGCCGGGAGCAGTCACCTTGCTCTCCAAATCCGGAATAGTGAGAAAAATATGAGGAAAACCCGAGGAGTGCAGAGAGGGTTAACGCGGCGAGAGGAGTGAAGAGCACAGCTGCGGGGTTCGGGTGCCAGGGCTGGCACTGGTGACCGTCCCCTGGCCGCCCTGGGCAGAGGGCGCCCAGCCAAACTGCGGTGCCTGGTGGGTGTTGCTGGGGTGAGCTGAGCCCGTTTCTTCTCTTTTTCAGGTCAAACTCCAGAAATCCCTGGAGCATCTTTTGAAGGAAGTGGAGGATGTGAAGAAGTGTGAGTCAGTGGAAAGGATGAAAACCCAGGAATGCAAGGCAGGTGTCTGGCTTAATTCTTAAAGAATGAGTGTCAGAGATACCAGTAATTAAAAAAAAAAAATCCTGAATGATCCTGGCTGGGGCTGTGAAATTTGGCAGAGCCCTCAGGATGGGACATATCCCCATGTCCTGCTGTTGTGTGGAGGGCTGGTGCTGGAAACCAGACTCAGCGACCATGTGCGGCTCCATAAAATGATGAAAAAACTTTGCAAGGAGCAGCATGCCAGCTCCCCCGAAATCCTGGGGCTTGTGTGACAGCTAAACAGACACTGGATATTTTTTATTTGCCTTTTGTTCTCCGTGCACTTGAATAACAAGCCATGGGTGAGCCATGGGGTAAGCTCTGCCCCGCAGCAATAGGAACTAGAAGTGTTTTCATTAAAAAATAAGAAAAGGTGAAATTACTGCACCTCTGCCTGACCCGAGGCCGTCCTGGGGAGACTGGACGTCATCAGAACGGCTGCATTTCGTGTCCCTCGGGGGTGAAAGCTGGGAAGTAAAAGCAGTGGCAGAAAAGGAAATGAAACTGAGTTTTCCAGCCCTGAGCTAGAGCTGGTGATTAATCCAGCTGTCGGAACGGTGTCCCCCACCCCCACAGCTTGTAGTGAGAAAGTTGGGAACTCAGCTGCAGCATCAGAAGCTGAGAAAGACCTTGAATTGGTGCAAGCGCTCCCCAGCACCAGCTGAAAACCCCTCAGTGCTATTCTCAGGGCGAATCCAAAACATAACCTCATACCACTGTGAAAATTAACTCCGTCCTGACTAAAACCAGCACAACATCTGAGGTCAGGCTGAGCAGAAATGCCCTGGGCAAAGTCCCGTTGCTGGTGGACAGAGGGTGTTGAGCTGAGGGCAGGTGAAAGCACAGCAGTTAGCCTCTGGCTGTTTTGTTAAATAAATGCGCTTATCGAAAGAATGCGGTGTTTTCCCAGGGCCTGATGCTGGGCATGGATGCCAGAGCATCTGGCTCTATCTCAGCTGCCTGGCTAATGTTCCCTCTCTTCACCCCACACATCTTATCTCAAGGAGACGGTGAAGAAAAAGCGGGAGAGGATTGTGAGCGAGTTCGGGAAGCTGCATCGGCTGCTGGCCGATGAGGAGAAGCTGCTGCTCCAGAAGCTAGAGGAGGAAGAGAAGCGGATTCTGCTGACGATCAATGAAAACCTGGCCAGGCTGGTGGAGCAGATGTGCTTGCTAGAGGAGCTGATCCTGGAGATAAAGGAGAAGACCCAGCAGCCAGCTGATGGGCTGCTCAAGGTCAGGCTACGCCACCAGCTCCCCTAACTCACCCACGGCACCTTTGTGGCTGGGGCCAGGATGGCTGGGGGGCACAAGGGTCTGGAGCCACACACCCAGAATGGTTTTTGTCTTCTCTTTCTAGGACATGAAAAGCATCCTGAGCAGGTAGGTACCCGTGCTCGTTCCTGCTATGGTCCTGACTGCCTCCAGGCTCTGAGATGTCTGCTCCATGCCAGCCACCCCCTGTTCTCCCTGCCCAGTGTCTGGCTTGGTCCTCCCTGGGGCTGACGAAGGAGGGACTGAGGCCAGCGGCACTGGAGAAGAGACTCCATCCTCTTCTTTCAGGGCCCCAGAGCCAAGGTCTTGCCTGGCCTTGTGCTGAGATGTGTCCCCTCCTAAGGGACGTGCTACCTGGCTGACCTTGTTCCTTCCTTCCCAGGGACTGGCACTGTTGCTCCCTGCACCATGTAGCTCTGGTCCCATCAGGCTTGCTGATAAGCAGGCAGTTATCCCTAGCGCTCCTCAAAGCCAAAGAGCTCAAGGGAGGAGATGCGTCTGCAGCCAACAGAAAGGCATTAACCCCCTCCCAGTCAGGAGACTGGCCATGCTTTGGGCTCTGGATACAGCACATGGGCATTGCTCTCCTTTCAGGTGCGAGGGGGTAAAGTTCCAGTCCCCCAAGGCTGTGTCCGTGACCCTGCAGGAAAACTACAGCATCCCCGAGTGCTGCCTGGGCATGAGGGACATGCTGAAGATGTTCAAAGGTAAGGTGGCTGCTTTTGTGCCAGCTCCTGGCACATTTGGGCTCTGGTATGGAAGTATTCCACATGCTGGGGCACTGGGAGGTTTTTTCAACAAGCTTTGTTCAGCTGGTTCCGGTTTGTGTACTGGTGAGTTCAGGCTGGTTTCATGGTGGGGAGACCTTCCTTGTCTTGGAGGGATTGTGCGGTGACCCTGAAGCCCAGGAGGTCACTCAGGAGTTTCAGGCTCCGTGTTGCCCACAAATTCTTGCTTTTGTGTTGGCTGTTTCTGAAGCTGAGCCAGGGACTGCTGAGCCACCCTCATTCTGTTCCAGCTCTGCAGCCAGATGCCAAATATTTTGCTGTGGTTTATAGTTAGCATGATTTTACGTATTGCACTTCCCCGCTGCCGGGCAGCGCTGGGAGCTGTGCAAAACCGCAGGCACAAGCGAATAAACATAGGAGTTGGGGAGAGCTGGAAGAGCCCAGCATCTTGGTAGCAGGAACCCGCTTGTGCCTGCACCTGCAGAGCCCTGAAGCCCCGTGTGCCCTTCCACCCTTCTCTCGCTCCAGTGGACGTGACTCTGGACCCTGAGACGGCGCACCCTGAGCTCATCCTGTCCGAGGACCGCAGGAGTGTGCGGCGCGGGAGTAAGAAGCTGCTTCCGACCTTCTTTGACAGCTCCAAGAGGTTTGGCACTGCTCCGGTGGTGCTGGGCAGTCAGGTCTTCTTCTCAGGCCGCTGGTACTGGGAGGTGCAGGTGGGAGACAAACCTGAGTGGGGCTTGGGGCTGTGCCAGGAGGCTGCCAGCCGGAAAGGCAACGTCCTCTTCTCCCCAAACAACGGCTACTGGTTGCTGCGGCTGAAAAATGGGGGCAACTATGAGGCTCTCACCTCACCCGTTTCCCCACTGACCCTGAGCGTAAGACCCCGGCGCATCGGGATCTTCCTGGACTACGAGGCGGGAGAAATCTCCTTTTACAACGTGAGCGACCGCTCCCATGTTTACACCTTCACTGACAAGTTTTCAGGGAACCTCCGGCCTCTCTTTTTCCTGGGTGCCTTTCTGGGGGGCAGAAACGTAGAGCCCTTGGTGATCTCCTGGGTCAGGGACACGCAGGGGACCGGGTGCATCATCCTGTGACAGCAGCTGCTCTGGCTTCTCACCAGCGAGCAGAGACCTGGGAGCCCGACCTGCTCCTCCCATGAGCAGGAGGGTGATGGTGGGGCAGCACAGGGAAATATCTGAGTGCCTTAGTGAGCATCATGGCAGGGTCCCCGTGTGCTCCTGGCTGCTGGGGGTGACCCTCCGAGTGTGACACCCACCCTGTGCCGTGCCCGTGCTGGGAAAGGCACTTTGGAGCAGGGATGTGCCATAACCTGCTGTGCTGCCAGTGGGGATGGAGGAGCCTGCCGGCCACTGCTGCCTTGCTGCTCGTCTCCTGGGCTGCTGGAGAAGGGTGCCTGCCCAACCTGCCACATAGTGCTGAATTTGGTGTGAATTGTACTGGAACAAGGCAATAAAGGGTTGATTTGGGGAGCCTTGT